GTAGAACTTTAAGACACTTAATATCTCTTCAAGTATGCATATCTTTCTTAAAATGACTCCTCAAAAGTTGTTATAATTCACTTTCTTCTTAAAATAGCGTGTTACTTAGGTTTATAGAATGCAGATAGCTTTCCACAATTTGCTGATTTGTATAAAATTTACTTTTAGGATAGTTTTCTGAAGTTTACTTATTTCGATTAAACACAATATTGGCACAGATCACATTCATTATCTTAAAGTGACTCTCCTTGTAATTACTTATTTGAAAAGATAAAATGCACAAACTTCAACTGCAACAAAGGTCATCCTCTTTTGCTTACCATCACAACTTTCTATAAGAGTGCAGTGTGTCAGAAAAGACAAAATTTCTATTTTTAATTGTACTGGCATGTAGAGAAATTGCATGGCATAACAGTTAGTAGAGAACAAGGTCTACCTGTTCACTGTAAATGGCCACAGATGTCATGTTCAGCTCATTGAGAGCACGGAAAACGCGAATTGCGATCTCTCCTCGATTCGCTACCATCACCTGAAAGCTAATTCATCAAGAAAAAAGGCTTTGAGTTTCTTTGGAGTCTCCATTATCTCAAAACAACAACATGCACTAACAATCTCTTCTCATAGCTCACTCTTTATTTACCCGTATGACCTTCTTTAACCCCTTTTAGTTACGTCCTTCTACGGCATACCAATTCCCAAACGTCTTCTATGTTCATAAAATTGAGATAAGCCCGGTTCACTTTTACAACAGCTCATATTTTCGTTTGATTAATCTGATAAGATGTAAAGCAGTGAAGAGTACTATTCTTTTCCTGAATCTTCAAGCATTTTTCCTTTCCTTTGTTTAGGGGAGAGGGGTTCTCCGTGAGCGAAACAGACAACCGGCAGCTTCAGTCGGGCCTAGTGAAAACTTCTCTACCGTTTAGAGCTTTCAATGAATAGCGTCATCTGATAAACGAGTAGCCGGCGTATTTACAATTCGAATTAAAAGATAGCACCTAAGGTCACTTGTTTTTAAGCTGCTCTTGTAATCAAAGATATGACTTCAAGTTTGCTTAACGCGTATTTTAAATTTCTATTACAAGTTCGGAGTGGTGAAGTCGTACTTTGATTTTTACTCCTTATGTAGACTACCGTTCACAAAATGAAGCAAGAATGTAACATCACCACACTGCTTTTTTCTATTAAATGGGAGAATCCAAATACTATCGACTTTTTTCTCTCATGGCATGTTCTGTAAGGCATACGATATTACCCCGCAATGAAAGATAAAATGTGAATTGAGCAGCTTTGAAAACGCCTCTCAACTACCAGAAAATGAGAAGTTCTTGAACATTACCATCACAAAAATCACTGAAACTAGCAGAATTATGTTCAGCTGGTGCACTATAAGGCTCACATTCATACGATTACTCTCGAAATCAATTGCTTTACAGCATAACGAGAAATACAATGGGAAACTTTAACCAACTGCGCTAAAAAAACCCAAAACTTTAGACACAATTTCTTAAACTTCATTTTGCATCAAAACTTCAGGTGTTCAACTTTACACTCTTTTTTTTCTCTATTTCAAAAGCATGGGATATAATTGTCGCTGGAACATGCTTATTTCGTAGGAGATCACGATAAGGTTGCTGCTAATTTAGTAAACTGCAGACCTTCTTGAACTCCTTCGGTTTCGCGACGGCGTACGACCGGCGTGGTTGGAA